ATGCAAATCAAAACTACAAAGAGATACCATCTCATACTGACATTACTGGCACTAATCAAAAAAAAACAGAAAATAACAAACGTTGGTGAGGTTGTGGGGAGATGGGAAATCTTATACACTGCTGTTGGGAATGTAAAATGGTACAACCACTATGGAAAACAGTATGGCGCTTCCCCAAGAAGCTAGAAACAGAAATACCATATGATCCAGCAATCCCGCTCCGAGGTATTTGCCGTAAAGAAATAAGAGCCATGATCTGAATAGACATATGAACACCCACGTTCATTGCAGCCTTATTGACAATAGCAAGAAAATGGAAACAACCTAAGTTCCCATCAATAGATGAATGGATTAACAGACTGTGATACATACATACAATGGAATATTATGCAACGATAAACAATAATGAATCCATGAAACATCTCACAACATGGATGAATTTGGAGGGCATTATGCTGAGTGAAATAACTCCATCACAAAAGGACAAATACTGTATGAGACTACTATTATAAAGTAACAGCAAAAGGTTTACATGCAGGAAAAAAAAAAAAAAGAAAAAAAATTCTTTAGTGGTTACCAGCAATAGGAGGGGGAAGGGAGGACAATTACCAAATAGAAGACACATGTTACTATTGGTGAAGGGAAAGGCAATACACAGCATGGGAGAAGTCAGCACAACATGACCAAGGCAAGAGAGGACACTGAGAGGAATGCAAGAATAAAGGGCATCAACGGTAAATACTATAGCATAGACAATCCTGTGACAATGGTATTAATCATAATTTATGAATGGATACATAGGAAGATAGATAATGCCAAGAGGTGTCGGAGAGTGTAAGGGAGCACACCTACTGGCAGATACGGGTTTGGTGGTGGATATTTCTGCATACATGACTGTAGGTGCTTCTCATATATTAGCAGAGACAATAGAACATACAAGCGACACAGAGAAACCTCTTAGACTTAAACACCTTACAGATGAAGTTCCTAGGCTCGAAGGCAAAGGACCATAGACTTGGAGGACACCTACAATTGGCATAACATAGTTCATAAAGACAGTGTTCTGCATCCTTCTCTGGTGAGTAGTGTCTGGGATCTTAAAAGCTTGTGAGTAGCCATCTAAGATACAACTATTGGTCTCTTCCCATCCAGAGCACAGAAGAGTGAAGAAAACCAAAGACTCAAGGGAGCAATTAATCCAAAGGGCTAATGGACCACATGAACTGCAGCCTACATGACCCTGAGACCAGAAGAACTAGATGGTGCCTGGCTACCACTACCTAACGCTCTGACTGGGATCACAGCAAAGGGTCCCAGACAGAGCAGGAGGAAAAAAAAAAACATCAAATTCACAAAAAAGACCAGATTTACTGACAGAGACTGGAGGAACTCCCGAGACTATGGCCCTAAGACACGCTTCTGACCTGGAAATGAAACCATTCCTGGAGACCACCTTTCAGCCACACAATAGACAGGCCTATAAAATAATAACACCCAAGAGGAATGTGTTCCTTAGAACAATCAATTATATGAGATCAAAAGGACAACATTTGCCCAAAAGCAAAGATGAGAAGGTAGGAAGGGGTGGAAAATCCAGACGAAAGGAAATGAGGAACCCAGGGCAGAAAGGAGGAGGGTGCTGACACATTGTGGGGAATGAAAAAAGGCCATAAAACAGTTTGTATACAAACTGTCTAATGGGAATCTAATTTGCTCTGTAAACTTTCACCTAATACACAGTAAGAAAAAAAGATAGAAGGAATCCACAGAGTCTCTGTATCAAAGAGAATTGGTGGACATTCAGTCATTTCAGGAGGTAGCATGTGATCAAGAACTGATGGTCCTGAATGAAGAAGTCTAAGCTGCACTGAAGCCATTGGTGAAAAACAAGGCTTCAGGAATTGATGGAATACCAATTAAGATGTTTCAACAAACGGATGCAGCGCTGGAAGTGCTCACTCGTCTCTGCCAAGAAATTTGGAAGACAGCTCCCTGGCCAATTGACTGGAAGAGATCCATATCCATGCCCATTGCAAAGACAGGTGATCCAACAGAATGTGAAAATTTTCTAATTATGTCATTAATATCACACGCAAGTAAAATTTTGCTGAAGATAATTTAAAAATGGTTACACTAGTACATCAGCAGGGAACTACGAGAACTTCAAGCTGGATTCAGAAGAGAACATAGAATGACGGATATCATTGCTGATGTCAGATGGATTTTGGCTGAAAGCAGAGAATTCCAGAAAGATGTTTCACCTGTGTTTTATTGACTATGCAAAGGCATTCGACTTTGTGGATCACAACAAATTATGGATAACATTACGAAGAATGGGAACTCCAGAACACACTTAATTGTGCTCATGTGGACCTTGTGCATAGAGCAAGAGGCAGTCATTCGAACAGAACAAGGGGATACTACTGCATGGTTTAAAATCAGGAAAGGTGTGCATCAGAGTTGTATCTTTTCATCATGCTTATTCGATCTGTATGCTGAGCAGATAATCCGAGAAGCTGGACTGCATACAGAAGAACACAGCATGAGGATTGGAGGAAGTCCCTGTTAACAGCCTGTGTTATGCAGATGACACAACCTTGCTTGCTGAAAGGGAAGAGGACTTGAAGCACTTACTGATGAACATCAAAGACTATAGCCTTCAGTAAGGGTTACACCTCAACATAAAATAAAAATCCTCACGGACCAGTAAGCAACATCTTGATAAACAGAGAAAAGATTGAAGTTGTCAAGGATTTCATGTTGCTTGGATCCACAATCAACGTCCATTAAAGTAGCAGTCAAGAAGTCAGATGACTTATTACATTGGTCAGATCTGCTGCAAAAGACCTCTTAAAGTTTTAAAGAGCAAAGACGTCACCTTGAAGACTAGGGTGTGCCTGACCCAAGCCATGGTATTTTCAGTCACCTCATGTGCGTGCAAAAGCTGGACAATGAATAAAGAAGATAGAAGAAAAATTGATAAATTTTAATTATGGCATTGACGAAGAATATTGAGTATACCATGAACTGCCGGAAGGATGAACAAATCTATCTTGGAAGAAGTACAGCCGAATGCTCCTTAAGCGAGGATGGCAAATCTTCGTCTCACTTACTTTGGACATGTTAGGAAGGACCAGTCCTTGGAGAAGGATATCATGCTTGGTATAATAGAGGGTCAGTGAAAGAGAGGAAGACCCTAAACAAGATGGTTGACACAGTGGCTGCAACAATGGGCTTAAACATAGCAACGACTGTGAGGATGGCGCAGGACCAGGCAGTGTTCTGTTCTGTTGTACACAGGATTGCTATGAGTTGGAACTGACTAGGCAGCAGCTAACAGCAACATAACAGTCTTAAGTAAAACATTTTAAATTTTATTTCCTTTTTTCCCTCAATATTGTTTGAGAGACTTAGATCAAAGACAAAGTTAATTAGAAAATATTGGATACAGTTGGAAATAAGAGAAAATGAGAGTGAGCAGAAATATAAATTTCAAGAAAATCCAGTAGGAATTCATGTAGGATCCAGTAATTGCTGACTCTCTTCATTACCCTAATTTTTCTTTCTTAACAGAATATACATTGTAAATCTAAGTGTATTTTTTCCTGAATTCAGAGAAATGTATTTTATTGATTACTGTTGTAGAAGCCAAATATCATTTTACAGTATTAATAATGCAAAGAAAACAAACAGAAAAGATGAAAATAGGCAATTTCTTTTAGCTTGTGTAGTGAAGTCAACAGACTGTTTTCTTGAATTATGTACCGACTTGCTTCACAGCTTTATGCCTGGCACTGTACTAGGGAATTAAAGGTGTCCTTATGAAGCCTTCAGTCTAGATAGTAACCAAGCAATTATTCTAATTCTATTCTTCTTAAAGCTTTATGGAAGATATTTCTGAAAGTGAAACATAAGTATGTGTTTAGTGAATAAGTAATCATGGAATATTTTCTTATTAAAAACTCTCACCTCCATAATCAAACGATTTGAGAAGAAACTGTCATCATTATTAAATAGCATCAAAATTTTCTCACTGTAAACTTTTGTTTTGAGCTTGGTCCTGAATTGGGACACTGGGTAATTCTAGGAAGGATGAGGTTTATGTGTAAATTTTTTTGTCGTTCAGTGTTATTTTTGTTTTAGGGTTCTGCTAAAGGCTTGGCTTCAGACACTCTGTTATTGCATACTCTGTCCACAGTGAAAACTAAAGCAAAAGTCGGGTGTTCCACAGCCTTAGGCTAGGACTTCTTAGTATCAGTACGGTTTTGGAAAATCCTCTTAGAAGTAGTCTGTCAGTTGGAAACTTTTTGGATTGTACAGTTGCTGCCCCCGGGAAAGCCAAACCAATTGCTGTTGAGTCAATCCCAGCTCATGGCAGCCAACCCTGTGTGTTTCAGGGTTTTCAATGGCTGTCATCTTTTGGAAGTAGATTGCTAGGGCTTTCTTTTGAGGTACCTTTGGGTGGATTTGAACTGCCAGCCTTTCATTTAGTAGCCAAGTGCTTAACCGTTTGTGCCACCGAGGGAATCCATGATTGCTGCCAGTGCCTCTTTTAAGTGGTGGGCGTGGGGGAGGGGTGGAAGAAGTAACTTCCTTTCTGAAAGATTCTAGCCAAATTAAAAGGAAGAGCTTTTCATTAAATTGTCCTTGGTTAATTTAGCTTGGCTTACCCCTACCGTATCTTTCTGTTAGCCAGTGATGAAAAAGCCAACAAGTTAACTTTTTGATGATCATAGGTACAGTACTTGAAGAAAGCATTTTATATTAAAAGGCTTGTGCACTCCCGCAGTTGCCACGGCCTGCAGCCTGCTAAGCCTGTGTTACCAGATGAGTAGCTAGTCCAGATGGCTAAACTGTTGGAGGATGTAAAATCAAAACCCATTTCAGGGGGCTGTCTGCTTTGCTCATTTTTGAATAGGGTCCATTCTAATTAATTGTGACTTTCTCAATTTGTTTTAAAATTTAATTTTTAACCAGATGTTTTCTTGATTTTTACCTAGGTTACAAAATATCCTCCTATGCCTGAGACCTACAGACTACATGGCCTACAGGAATTAATCAATGGTTTCCCATCTCCTGGAGATGCATTAGAAACAAATATGGTGCCAAAAGAACTCCTTACCTTCCTCTGACTCCGGTTCATTGGGCATACTTTTGTACTGAAGAGAGGTATACACACTGAGGAGACTCGTTCTGCAGAGACTCTGTCGTGTAGGATCATGGACCATCCTAGTAGGGAAAAGGATGAAAGACAACGGACAAGTAAACCCATGGTACAAAGGAGTGCACACTGCTCCCGGCCGTCTGGCTCATCGACATCCTCTGGGGTTCTTATGGTGGGACCCAACTTCAGGGTTGGCAAGAAGATAGGATGTGGGAACTTCGGAGAGCTCAGATTAGGTAAGAGCTTGGTTGTGTCAGTGGCTTCTACTAACAATGACAACAATAGCTATGATGAGCTTTGGTGTGTTTCAAGACAAGCAATTTATATTTTCATGAGAAGTTTCTCATAACTAGGCCCTGTTGTTGTGAGAACTAAAGAATTTGTGAAGGGGACTATAGTCATTATCAGTTTTAATTGCTGTTTAAGGTTCAGCTGTCCTTATGTGGGAGAGGTTGGCTTTAAAAACTTCCAACTCTGAGATTTTGTGATGCAGGGAAATCTGCAGACTGATGTGAATAAAGTACAGGTTATGTTTAGTACATAGATCTGAGATAGAGCCCTAAGTTCTGCATTTTCAACAAACCCTCAGGTGATGCAGATGCTGCTAGTCCTTGAACCACACTTTGAGAAGTAAGGGAGTAAGGCTTTGATTTAATTCAGCCTCTATCCCTGAAAAAAGAGAGTAAATCCTTGCTCAGCCATACCCAGGCTTAGTCTGCGAAGATAAGAGAAGTTATCTCAAAGTTTAGAGAGGTTATTTGAGAGATAAACTACGTTTGCATTTCTCCCTTGAGGTCCCACCATCAGAACTGAGTTAGAACTCCAGGGGAGAAATTATGCAATTGTATTTCCCAACCATGGAAATGGATTTTCTGTTTCAAGTATGATTTGATGGGTAAGATGATGAATAGAGACAAAATCAGCCAGTTTGAAGAGCTGAGGTTGGGCAGAAGGTACATTGGGTATCTATATACTTTTTGATGACCCTCCATAGGTGAGTGGCAGAAGAGAAAATGAAAGACGTTGTAAATGTATAAAGTTGGAGATTAGCTTGGAGAATGTGAAGAGGTCGGCTTTAAGCTCAAGTATTTTATTTGTCTTCATAGCTGCTGTAGCTGTGAGTTATTATGAAGACCTATTGTAAGAGACTTTGGCCCTTGGGGAAACAGGAGGGTAGGAATGTAAGATGATTATTGTTTGTTACCTATGCTACTTATGATCTTGCAAAAGGAGATGGAAAGTGTTAACCTCTGATCTCCCATAGAGAGCCTCAGGGAAGCGTCACTCTACCAGCCAGAGATCACTGGGTGCAGAATGAAGTTTAGAGATGCTGAGAATGAATTTATTTTTACTAATAGAAGGCTGGCAACCTAGAATTTAAAGACCTGACTAGGATAATGAAAGCCTCTTTATATTTAGAGATGTGTTCATGTTCAGGTTAGCAAAGCCAGCAGAAGCTACTGAGAATAGGAGTAAGATGTGTAATTTCCCACTGCTTGACTTCCTAGCAAGTACAGAGTTGCTTTAGCAGCTAGTTTTGTGAATATTCATTTATGTAATGGATTGACTTTGTTCTAACATCACAGTACTTGTATTAAATAGATTATGACGTAAACATCCACAAAATGCTGAGAGACAGTTTCTAATGCATATAAATTCATGCATTCTCAGAATGTCAGAAATTTGTTTACTTTTATAAAGATGAAGAAAAACTTTGGTTAGTTGAAACTGAAAATCTGTTTAATCATTTATGTCTAGGTTTGTATTATATGATTTTTAAAGTTACATGGGAATGGAAAAATTCATTCTAAAAGGATAAATTTGTAGCCCATATATATTTTCAGAGTAGTAGGGTGTTGTGTTTTATTTCCTTTCATGGATCTAGGATAATTTTGATAATTCTGATTTTGACTTGCTTTGTAGTTAGTAGAAAGAACTCTTCTTGTCTTTCTTTCAAAGTGGTTTTATTCTTGTGTGCTTATCAAGTTTCCATTAGGCCTGGGATCATATCATTACAACATTGTATCTAGCAATACTTTTTACCAGCAAAAACTAGAAAAGAAACTTTCAGAATCATGTAACATCTTCCTAACAATAGAATGGATTGTATACTCCATTCTGTTGTTCTCTTCTTGCTGTAGTATCAGTGAAGAGAAGATTGTGCAGGTGACAGAAGATGGGAACTGAGACATTCCAAACTCAAGGCAGGTGCAAGTTGGCCTCTAACCATGGTGTCTTAGTCATCTAGTGCTGCTTTA